TTTTAGTACACATGCGTTATGTTTTATTGAATTATTATTACCACAGAAATTCCGCCAAAGTGGAACCCAACAATTAGCGATAAAAAAAAAAACAATAACATACCAAAATTATCAATGTACTTAAAATATTTAAGGATAAAAACAGTTTAATTGCACTACATTTGTAAACTTTATTAATTATACGTTGCAAAAAAATGACGTGAAAAAACGTTGTTGTTCATTTCACCTAATTCATCACTTCACTTATCTAATTTAAAAAAAGATAATAAAAGTTTCATAACCGTATTATCCTATTACAGTGTGCCTTTTAATCACTACGCTATAAATTATAAGAAAACTCTTTTAACAATTTATATTCAGTATTATGCATTTTTTACACAATTTAGTTTCTGTTATAAAAGGACTCTGTTATACAATGGACCATCTTCATGTTAAAGGTAGGCAATATTAAATCGGTACAATCTTATTTGGGAAAATAGTACTTAATTTCATTGATATTTAGAAGCTTCACATTTTGCGAATTATAATATTATCATTTAGTCAATCAATGCAGTCGAGTGCATATACATATGTCACAAATATGTATCTCAAACTATAATACAAAGTACTTAACAGATCATAGTCCATAATAATATGGCTTATAATCGCTGTTGTGGCTGATTTTGAGAACTCATTTCGGAAACTGGTTGCGACGTATCTGTTTCGTTCTTTTTCTCGTCCTTCGATTTGTTCCATTCCTGTAAACCTTTCGGTAGTGTTGTATCCTCTTCGAATGATCCCGTACCTTCTACAAACTGTTCGTAAGTTGACTTTTCAGGGAACGGCCTAGGACCTAGTAACTCTATCATATCTTCTCTACTTAAAATTTCTTGCTTTAATAGTCGTTCGGCCACCTAAATAGACAGTAATAAAACCATTCGTTTAATAGTAAAATCATCAAAAGCTAATTTATTCTTTCCACAAATCAAAGATGTTTTATACCTTAGATACATCCTCTTTATGTTTCGTAAGCAAATCACGTGTGTGATTATACGCTCGTTCGATTAGCTCGCGTACTTCAGTATCGATAAGTTGTGCAGTATGTTCAGAATATGGTTTGTCGAAAGACATTTCACCTTGTTGTGGCATTTGAAAACTGACATTACCAATCTTTTCGTTCATACCAAATTGAATGACTTGAGCATACGCATTAGAAGTTACCTAATGAAAACAAATTCAACATTAATAAATTGCCTACATACACTATTAATTTTAAAAATGAGAAAATATATAGCGATAATACTTTTTGTAAATCATCTTGCGCTCCCGTTGTAATACGACCGAAAAAGATTTCTTCCGACACTCGTCCACCGAGTGCCATACACATTCTATCAAACAATTGTTCTTTTGTATAAAGATATTGTTCATGAGGTAAATACTGTGCATAACCTAAACCTTTCCCTCGTGGAATTATAGAGACCTGTCTTGTCAAAAAGAATATAAATAAGATTACAATAAAATATTATTATTTTTAGAATTTAAAAATCACCTTCAAAAGTGGATCTGCGTATCTCAAAAACCAGCCTGCTACTGCGTGGCCTGCTTCATGATACGCAACCGTTTTCTTTTCTTCAGGTTGCAAAACGTTCGTCTTCTTTTCCATGCCTGCAATAACTCTTTCAATGGCCTGTTCAAAATGTTTTAAATAAATATTATCGCTCAAATCTCTCGCTGCTATTAAAGCTGCTTCGTTACAGACATTAGCAATATCAGCTCCTAAAATCAATTACTTATAATATTTTCAATGTATATATTTAACATTCTTTCTTTAATTTTGTTTTATATATTAATGATTAATTCCACATTCCCTACCTGTAAATCCAGGCGTTAAGGAAGCCATTTTTCTAGCTAGTTGATCTTTATCTATTGTGATTTTCAAAGATTTTAAGTGAACTTTGAAGATAGAAGCTCGACCCTTAATATCTGGAGCAGGAACGTAAATTTGTCTATCAAACCTTCCAGGTCGTAACAAAGCTTTATCTAAAATATCTATCCTATTAGTTGCCGCTAATACAACTACATTAGTGGTTGTATTAAAACCTAGAAGAAAATATTACTCGATCAAATATAAATTTGATGTAGTAGGGAAGCTGATATATATTATTAATTATTATAGCATACCATCCATTTCAACTAGAAGTTGATTAAGCGTATTCTCTTGTTCCGAGTGACCACCAAAGTTTCGGCCTCCTCGTTTTCTTCCAACGGCATCGATTTCATCAATGAATAATATACATGGTGCGTGTTTTCGTGCCAACGTGAACATATCTCGAACTCTTGATGGACCAACACCAACAAACATTTCCAAAAACTCAGAACCTGATACACTAATAAAAGGTACATTTGCTTCACCAGCTGTAGCTTTAGCTAATAATGTTTTACCAGTACCCGGTGGACCTATAAAATATTATAAAAATATCTAAACTTTTATCCTAAACTAATCCAAATCTAAAAAAAAGTTATTTATGCCTAAACTATATACTTACCCGTCAACATTGCACCTTTAGGAATCTTAGCACCAAGCTCTATATATTGTTGAGGATTTTTTAAAAAATTTACAAATTCCATAATTTCAATCTTAGCTTCTTCACAGCCAGCAACATCCCTAAATTTTAATAAGACGCATAGAAATATTTATGGAAACTTTATAGCAAAATGATAAATGAAATATTACTCAAACATGATATCCTTACAGGGAGTTGTACAATTGCACACAACTTTTTCCTACTCTATAGACTGACTATTTGTCAAGCGTTTGGAAGTGCATATTTGTTGCTTTTCTATCTGCTTTTGTTACTTAATACCTCTTGTTTTTTCAGTGTGTTCATTTCATCTTAAAACATTCTAGGAAATATGGCAAAAGAGCCCAGAGTAGAAGAAAATTGTCTACAATTCATATTATCTTTTACTATATAATCTATTAATATTAAATTTAAGTATAAAATAATAATTTAAGTATAAAATAAAGTATAATCTAAATAGATAATCTTTTGAAATGCAAATATGTACACACTGTGCAATAATATTTCTATTAACTTACTTAAATCTTACACCAATATCTTTGGAATTAACCATTTTTGCGGTAGACTCCATCATTGCACCAAAAAGTCCACCTTTCCTTCCTTTACCAAATGATTCTGCTGACTTACGGAATAAATAAAATAAACCACCTGTAAATAATATTTGACATTATATCTAACTATAATTTAAATATTTGTCATAAATATATATCTATAGGAAAATGAGAAGAACTTACCATACATAAGCAACTGCGGTATAATTTTTCCAATGTGATATAGTTCTATCTCATCTTTGTATTGTACTAATATATAATTTTGCGGCTCTATATTTAAATCAATTTGAGCATTCTCCAAATTTCTTTCAAAAGTTTCAACACTACCAATATTGAACCATACTCTATCCTACAACACGCAAATAATTGTTATGTAACTTACACGCTATTATAACCTACTTTTATCACTCAAATTAAAATACCTATAAACTTACTTTTCCATTTATATAATTCCCAGGTGTTAACTTGATACGAGCCCACTGTTTATTGATAACTTCCACTTTGTCCACTATTCCTTTATCTAAATATCTAAATAAAAGTAACATAAAATATTTGCAAGAAATTTTTACATTGGATATGTCTATAAAAAATTATTATAATTAATTTACTCTGTTACAAATTCTTTCCATGTGATTTCTAGTGGTTGATTTGATAATTGTAGTAAGTACAGATAAAACAATCCCATTAATGCCGCACCAAGAAAAAATATTTTTTCATTTTTTTTATCTCCAAATGATTTATTTCCTCCATCCCACTTAAAATTCCATGAAAATGTACGTTTATCACTACTCGAGGAATGCATACTTGGTTTTTCTGATTGCATTTGGGATGATTGTGACTCTGAAGCTTGCTTAGATGGTGCCTCTTTAGCTTTTTCAGTAGTTTTATTAGAACCTTTTTCTACAGATAAAAAAGTTAACTTTTTTATAATCTATTTTTTATAGACTAAAGTAAATTAACAAATACAAAATAATAACTTGGTTTAAAAAATTTTTCAAATCCTTTTGGTGGTTCATTGCATAATAATCTCCATTGATTTCGTAAATGTTCCAATGTACTTGTTCCTTTATCATTTTTTACTAATGATAAATATCTTCTTAACTGAAAAATATTTTATAATATATAATATAATAAATACATATAATAAACAAATATTTATTATAGATTCACTTAATATACTTTCTGATACGACAGAATCAACTTTATTACTATAGTAAATAATTTTTAAAAGATAGAACTTTAAAAAAAGATAATGATTCACATTTAATAATAGTGGTATCATGTATATACTAAAAACATTAAAAAAGTTTTAAGTATTACTAGTTTAATTCTTCATATATGTAAATAAATACGTAATAATACATAATAATAAAAAATACGAGAAAAAATAAAAATTAAATATACCGTAATTAATACAAAGAATATAAATTAATAACAACATACAAATAATCAAAATTTTAAGATGAATAGAACTTTATTAGAAATCATTCATTATAAAACACAGAGGTTATGTTAGATCATATTTATACCTGAAATATATTGGCATTTTTGTAAACAGAGTTCAGAACAAATCTTTCTAATTTACTTGTCGTATATAATAGCTGATGGGCCATATTTGTTGTAAGTTTCTGTAATCACGTAATGATGAAATTTCGTAGTTTCCACACGGTCCTTGTAATAGATTACCGGCCACAATACATTATTGCAATAAATATCCCCAGTCTTAATCCTTATTTCTCGTTTACAACGCACAACACGAATCTACACATATTCTTAAAACGAGCATTTATTGGTTATTTAATTTTGCGCGAAGAGAACTGACTAATCAATGACTCAATCTACTACTAGGGTATTAATTTTATCTATAATATAACTAAAAATATAGGGAAGCAAGGTAAAAAATATTTTTAATATTCTAAGAAATATTATTTTTATTGAAGCACATGCTTAATCAGTGCAACATTCAGCCAAATCAAATGTATTTTATCAATTTATGTAAGGTATCAAGTTTACATTTTCTATTAATTAGGTTTACATTTTCTATTAATCACCAGCTCCTGATTCAGTAATTTTTTAACGTCAGTACTACTTACACATTTTTCTAAAAACGAAGAATAATAATAAAATTTATTCATAAATAAATATATGAAAACATTGCACACAAAAATACGTTATTAATGATAAATCGTCTTATGTAAATCTGAAACGATTTTATGTTTATAGCGCACGCACGCAGCGTCTTATTGTGTATATACATTATGTCTGTATATACATATGTCACGTATGTATATACATTACTAAATTCTAAATCAATATAGATATTGTTATAAAAAAAACAAATATTAATGAGTGTTAGACAAATGATAATAATTTATATGCTAACTTTCTGTTTGTGAATAATTTGAATTTTCTTCGATACTTATAGCACAAGGAATATACTCTTGCCCTGATTCCTATAAAATATAAATTTTATATATTGTTTTACACAATATGAAATGTTTTTTAACAATTTGATTTTAAAAATAAACATACTGAGTTAACAATAATTTGTCGTCCTTCCTCTAGATTCAGTCCATCCATATCTTCTGCTGTTAATATTATCACAGAATCTCCAGGTATACTATTTTCATCTATATAAGTTATAGGAATTTCTGATGAAACCTGTAATTTTATTAATAATCGCAAAATTTTCAACATGAAAGATAATAAAAGATAATGATAACTCGTAATACCTCGCAATATGTAAAATCAGATCCTTCTTCTACCTTCATTTCTATATTATGTTTAGAATCTGCTATTCTTTGCTTCCTCAAGTTTAATGAGTGCTCTGACTTTTTACCATCTTGTTGGAGACGTCTCCATATTGTTGTTTTTGGAATATGATATGTCATTGATGCTACTGCTTGCGACATTTTTCCTCCTTTACAAGCAGCAACAGCTTCTTCTAAACGAGACTTTTTTAATTCTTCATTTTCTGTCTTACGTTTCTTCCAAAATGACAATGGCAGTTTTCCTTCATCTACCAATCGTGCTTTATCTCTAAATAAAGTAGTTTTTGGAATCTAAAAATATAATTATCATTATTGTTTCCAGATTAATCACGAGCAATAAACAAAATGTTAAATAATTTACTTTAAATTCAAGTGCAACTTTTGTTAAATTTTCTCCTCTTTCTAAAGCCTTAACTGCAGCTTCCCGTTTATCTGATCCATAAGACCTTTTCATTTCCGAACGTAATATTTGATATCCTTCTTTCTGAATCCTTCTCCATAATACAGTCTTTGGTATACTAAACGTTTCCGACGCATGCTGCAGGCTTGATCCACCTATAATAAATATAAATTAAATTGAACAATACCATAAGATTAATATTTAACAGAAACATTGAAACAGATACCAACCGATTACAGCATTTATAGCAGCTTTCATACATTCTGCAGGATATTCGTTTCTTGATGCGTTTAAATGTATACCTAATGCTTTAGCACGCATGTACAAAGTCGAACGTGGTATATTATGTTTAGTAGAAGCTTCTATTAATGTTTGACCTGCTTTCAAGTCATTAATAGCTGATGCTAGCATATCATCACTGTAATCTCTTTTTGTTGTATCACGTCTACGTTTCTTTTTTTTATTCAACATAGAATTGTCAATGACCTCATCTTTTTGTTGATTCTCTAAGTCTTCATAATTATGTTGCAATGTATCAATAACATTTTCTTCAGTCTTGCCAATTACAGTCATTGAATCTTCGTTATTATCATTAAAATTCCTATTGTTCACAACAGAGTAAGTTTCTTCAAGCCCATCAATCTATGAACAAAGAAACAAAATAATAATAAAAAAGAGAATAATTTCTATTTTATTCTCTTTAGATAACTAACTTCGTTAAGGCCGCAAATCTTTAATGAACGTGCAGCATCCAATAAACTACTAATATTTTCAACTGGAACTCTCACTTCTCCATGGTAAATAAATTCTATAATAGACCTTATATCTTGGACAGATATATCGCTTAATATTATTGTTGAATGATCTTCATTTACTTGGCTTAATATTTCCTACAAATAAAAAATCATACATCATCATACAAATCATACTACATAAACAATTAATCTATCTTTCGAATATAAATTACATGTTTCTAAACAAAAATAAAAGAAAATAGTCCATACTTATAGGAATGATGTTAAAGCGTGTACTAAGTAGTTCATTTTGTATTATATTCAACAAAAAATATTATTAAAACTTGTACAAAAATGAAATTGAAGAATTTAAAATTTAATTATTGAATGGATGAACTGTTTAAAAATATTTGAAAGTAATCAAGTTCAAATTCAAAATTGATGAGGTATATTCTTAAAAGTGCAATGGTTGTTTACTCGAAACAAAGTGCTACAAGCACAAAGAACTATGCGATGAGCATGAATGCGTTCCCCAGCCGCAGCCAGGGTAACGTCCACCATACAATTTTCTTCTAAAAGTTGTCTAACTACATCGGAAAGATGATTCTGATAATCATTCCATTTGAACCAATAACTCTGATTGATCTCATGTTGGTTAGCAATTTCGGACATGCCGTTTCAGTTTCGTTTCCTTTTCAATGTCAATAATTCGTATACAACCGGAATTTGGAACAGGACTGAACTCTTTACACCAAGATACACTTCAGTAATAATCGTGGCACTTTTCAAAAAACTTCAATAAATTTTAACTACTTTTTTGCAATCCTAATATATAGATATATGTCTTTAAACTATTTTGCATACGTGTTATATTCATGTACAAACGCTTATTTAGAAATCAGATATAATAATAAAAAATTGTATTAGAACTGATTGCCAGTTAAATATATATGATTGGTTGGTGATATGTATATAATTTGTACCAAATTTAATGACAAGAGAATATTTAATTCAACGCTTAACAAAAATTATACAATTAAATATAAAAATAATCAGTTGCTTAAATAGCAATTAATTCTATAGTTGTAACTAGAAATATTTAAATTTCTAGTGTCCCACTATCGTGCAAATTTAAGCTGTTGGTACAAATATATATACAAAATAGTCGATTCTTTGTATGTGTTAGTAAACTCATATTCTTTTGTATTGTGGCAGTTTTGTGATTACTTTGAAGTAACAGAGTGTTTGTGTTTGCTAATTTTTTGACCAACTTATTTAATCGTCTATTTAAAAACAAGATGGTTAGTTATTGTATACGTATCAATAATTTTGTTTTTCATTCTAATTTGATATAACTTATTCATGATATATTTAAACACGTGACAGCATAACCTCAATTATTGCATTAAAAATGTCATACTTGATCGAATGAAGTATCAATACATTTTTGAAAACTTGTGTATTTCTTCTTTTTATCGGTATTCACAATTTTGGAGTGTGAAAGATTCTTTTTATAATATTTTTTATAATAATTGAAATTGTCGCATATTGTTTCGTGTCATGTTGTGGTTATGTTACTGTAAAATTTAATAATGGTAATTTTTAGTCAGTTCTTGTACTATAATAAGAGACTTATTTAATATAAATCAATTTAAAAAAACTATGAATATATCTTTTGTTGTAGAAACCTTTGATGTTGCATGGGCATGAACGTGCCATAACCCAAATTAAATACAATAGAGAAGGAGATTTATTATTTTCCTCTAGTAAAGATAAAAAACCAAATGTTTGGTATTCTTTGAATGGAGAACGTCTTGGATCTTTTAATGGACACAATGGTTCTGTATGGTGTATTGATGTTAATTGGGATACAACAAGATTTTTATCTGGAAGTGGTGACAATACACTAAGAGTTTGGGACTGCCAAACTGGTTTGTATTTCATTTATATTTAATATTTTTCAATTTATTTGCTTCATTCATTTCAGTATTCAATGCCTATGTTACATTGCAGGAAAAGAAATAGGTCTACTTCATACGAACAGTTCAGTGAGAACATGTAGTTTTAGTTATTCAGCAAATCTTGCTGTTTATTCAACAGATAAAGCTCTAGGACATCAATGTGAAATGTTCATCATTGATATAAAAAATGTTGATGCAGTATTATCACAAGCAGATGCTATTTCTAGAATTGCTGTAAATGGTCCCAAAATCTCTGCTATTTTATGGGGCGCATTAGATGAAACGATTATTACTGGTCATGAAGATGGTGAAATTACTCTTTGGGATGTTAGGGTATGTAATATGCATATTTTCATGTGTTTTCATGAGTCAAACATTAAAAATTTTTTTTTATAATTTTATAGACAAGGAAGAAAATGACAAGTGTCAAAAGTCATAAATCACAAATAAATGACATGCAATTTAATAAAGATGGCACTATGTTTGTGACTGCATCAAAAGATAATACTGCCAAACTGTTCGATAGTGAATCTTTAATGTTATTAAAAACATATAAAACAGAAAGACCTGTTAATTCTGCTACTATTTCTCCTATTTTCGATCATGTATGTGTTACATGTAATAATTAAAAATAGATTCGGTGAAATAGAATCAAAATTTGTAAAAATTATATTTTTATAGGTGGTTCTTGGAGGAGGTCAAGATGCTATGGATGTTACGACGACATCCACTCGTCAAGGAAAATTTGATTCTCGATTTTTCCATTTAGTATTTGAAGAAGAATTTGCGCGTTTAAAAGGACACTTTGGTCCAATCAATTCTCTAGCATTTCATCCTAATGGTCGTAGCTTTTCAACAGGTGGAGAAGATGGTTATGTTCGTATTAATACATTTGATCAATCTTATTTTGATTTCCATTTTGAATACTAATTTTATGAAATAAAAAAAATAAATATGTATCAATTAAATGAATGATATAAATTACTTTTTCCACCTACTTTTCTTTTCTTGAATTGTATAAACATTAGGATACAGATCTAATACAATGTTGCAAATAAAGATTTATCATATAACTTAAATTTATTCATATAAAAAGAAAGTTGACAAACGTATTATTTTTGTAATAAGAACAAGGAAGATAGTATCATTAATAAAATTTAAGATACACAGGTAAATATAAACTTATTTCTATATTTTAATAGTTTAAATATTTAAAAAAATATTATTCCTTATATTTGAAATTCATTTTCAATAAATACCGTGCTTTTACCTGAGCAATATCATATACAATATATTCATTGTATAATAAATCAGATTTTTTTGGTAGTTTAGCAGATACAGGCACACCATATGGAACTTCAATACCGTCTTTCATTTTATAAACACTTTCAGGATCAGGTTGTGTTTGTCCACGACCCCATGTTGAATGTTTGCCACTTGGTAATTTTTCAATATAATCCGCATGATATCTTTCATACATATTACCTAATGCCACTTCGCAAAGCAACAACAAACCCGTAGGATTTTCGCTGTTTGTACAACAATAATTCGCAGATTTAGAAACCATGTCTGCGAAATATATACCTTTACCAAACATATAACCGGTAACGGGAGCTTCTGGTGGTGCTATTCTCAAACCTTGAGCAAGTATACCAGCAAAGTTAGTCGTTCTAGAACCATGCCACAATAATTTTTTGTTGGGCAGTTTTCTAAATGGCTTATATCTAGTGTCTTCCCCTTGTCTTTTAATAACAAATATTTCTTCAATTTCAAGTTCATATAGTGTATGAGTCTTTCCATGAGTATTTTGTACATATTGTTTGATGACATTATATTCCTCACTTTCCTTATCCAATATTTTAATTTCAGTTTTAAGCTGCTCATAATGAGCATCAAGCGGATTCTTTGTTGCATCTGTCTTAGTGTGTAAAAGTGAATAGGCAATTTCCATCTCAAGCAACGCGTCCAACATTTGGCACTTAACGTGAATTTCTTCCATTGAATTCAAAATTTTAGGTTCAGATACTCCGAAATTATGAGGTATTAAATTGTAAAATCTATTGGATGCATCAACCAATTGAATTGAATCAAAATTTTTCTTCTTTAATACTTCTTGTAACTCTGTTAATACTGAATATGCTTTTTGAATTTGTTTTTTAGATAGTTTTCCAAGAGGCATTTTTTCTATATCAATTTCAAATTCAATCATCACTTTCTTCATACTCGTCTCATCGAAAATTAGTTTCATTAAATCTTGAATTGGTAGTTCTAACTCACTCTTAATATCAGAGTCCAACATTTTTGTCTGTACATCGTCTCCATAATCAATATCGACTGGATACATTTTATGAGGTACTTTAACAAAATTTTCTCTTTGACTCCAACAATTTCCGCTTTTTTCTTCGTATAAAGCCTCAAACTGTTCTACACATTCTTCCACAGACAAGCGTTCTACTTTTGAACCACCAATAGTTGTTCCTATTCTACCCCAGCTTCTAAACAACCAATATTCATTTTTCTTATCGTGCTTTAAAATCTGCAACTTATAATAGCTATTTTTCTTAGTTTGTATGTCCGATAATATCAATGTAACACTATATTTATTTTTATCCTGTTGATATACATGAGCACAATCTTGTAAACCACTAAGTGGATCAACAGTTTCACCTTTTTTTAGTTGCAATTTCATTTTACCAGATCCTGACTTTTCATATATACTTTTACCTTTACTTTTTGAGACATTAGATTTTTCTGCGAGAATATTAATTCTATCAGACAAGTTGCCACCCCAACTTGAAATAGTTTTCTTTTTAATAAGTGATATAGCAGGTTTTGTATACTCTTTGGCTTCTTCAATAAAGTCTTCAGTAATAACTTGAATATTAAGGTTCTTAGCTTCTTCCATTTTTTTACTCATTTTATCTATTTCACGTTGTGTGGATATAACAGCAGCTACATTCTCATGGAGTTTTGTAATTACTTCTCCTCCTAAGTGTAAAATTTCTTTCTTTAAAGTATTTTTATCTTTTCCTATGTGTCCTATAATAACGAATTGCATATGTTTTAATGGCCTAGGTTTTGCCGCAACTTTGGTTCCAGAATCGACTTCATCCTCTTTTTTTATTATACTAGATGTTGATGGCACGGATATCTTTACAAGTCGTTTTCTAACTTTACATTTTAAAGATTTGCTGTTAAATATTAAAACAGTGATTAATTTTTTTTTATATAGTTCTTACAAATTTGTGAAAGTAGTAATTTTAATCATAATTTGTGGAAGTACTTACAGATCAGTATATGTTTCCTTCATATCTGATGATATTATGAATTTTTTTCTGTTAGGATTTTGTGTGACATTTTCGCATTTTGTCCATTCTGTTAAATCTCCAGTACATTTGTATCCAATGCCTGAATTATACACAAGCTGTCCACTACACTTTGGGCAAGGCTTTAAAGCTCCAAAATAAATCGCATCCGATAAACGGTCAATTACCTACAACAAATATTTTAATCATTCAAATGCTTTTTTACTTAATTGAAAATAAAGTTATTAAAATAAAATACATACAGATGAAACACCTTCTGGAATTTGTTGTTCATTTTCTTCCAACATAGCAATGAGGTCAGATTTCTTCACAGAAGATAATGTATCTCTAATTTTAAACAATTCATCATTCTGTTTTTTCATTTCTTTCTCTTCCTCTGCATCTTTTGGTTCTTCTTTCACTTTTTTAATTAGTGGAGCATCACCTGTTTTAATCTGTGGTAAAGCACTCTTCAGTTTCTTTTGATCATCTTTGGAAAGTTCATTATTACCAGGTATCATATTTCCACTCTCATAAAATTCTAAGTTTTCTCTTATTTTAACAAAGCATTCAAGATGATGCCATCTATCTATGCCACCATATTTTCTGCCTTCTTCACTTTCAAAATCTTTCTTTGATATTCTGACCTCACCCTGTACTATCTTTTCCTCACAGGCCTTGCAACTTGATCTACTAGATTTTGCATATTGCACTAAAAAATTACATAGTGGACCTGCAGATTTACTACTAGTACCACCACGCTTTTTTCCTCTTCCAGACGAAGGTACTGGAAAAGTCTTCGTTTCCTCTATAAAAATGTTTCATTGGAATTATTTTATTATAATGTTAATAAATGTAATTTGCAATATTATAACAAACAAACCAATTTTCTTTTGAATTTCTTTCTGATCCTCCCAACGAATATTATCAAAATTTCCTACATCGGCAGTAGTTTTTGGTCTTTGTTTTATAAAAAAACATTGTGAATGATACCATCTTGTTATCTTTCCATCATGAACAGGACTCTAAAATTTAGCAAATATTTGAAAATATAATTATCTTAACATTAAAGAAGCATAAAAAATATAGATAAATTCATCTACTAAAATCTAAATAAATTTCTACAATGTCATTATAATCAAATACGTTATATTGAATTTATAAATTAAATTAATTGCAATTATTATTGATTTTATTTCAATGTTTGAACACATCAATTATTATCAGCTTATCTAACCTAAAGAAAGTTTAATAATTAAATTTAAAAATTCATATTAGTGACAGTAATGACATATGAATTCGTGTGAAATTATTAATGCCGACATTGCATACCTGAACAATAACGGCGAGTCTCAACGAATCCTTTTCAATAGACTTCTTACAATATTGACAAGAAGCTCTCGAACTTTTCGCATATTCCACGTGATAAGGTAAATCAGGATTCATTGTTTCGTTAGAATTTATTCAATAATTTCAATCTCGAAACCAAATGCGCAATAGCAGCAGTTGATTTAACGACAAAAGGAAAAACGCATGTTACGCGCCAAATCCTGATGTCGAAGTTTGATCTATGTCGGCTTTTTGTCACGACTCATTTCAAATAAGAGACTTAAAATCTTAGAACAATAAAAAAATCTTATGATCATATATATTTTTAAGTTTGTTTATTTCAATTAACTCAAATTAAATAGAAGATATAATATTGAAAAACAGAATATAGTAAAAATATAGTATTGACACCAACACATTGGTTGATGACCAATTGTATTTAAACCGGAAATGAAATTCTATTTTTTACAAATTTACTTTAACTGTGCTTAGGTGTTTTTATTATTCATACATTTATACGTTAGCTTTACAGTATAGATTTTAAATTGTGTGTTCTTTCTGACATAACATTTTTAATTAAATTCGGGAAATTATTTCTTTTAAAAATTTGTTTTCAAATTAATAATCGAGATATAAGATATATATTTCCTTAATTATAATTCAATTATATATCTTTTTTATATATAACATTATTTTTATTATACGTAATAATTACTTATTAATTTATGTAATGCTTTATATAATCAATTTATATAATTTACATTATATTGTTACAAACATGCACTCATAATCGATTATACATGATTTCATTAAAATGCAATATTGAAAGTACATGAATATTCGTAAATATAATTTCATATAGTTGCTTGCAATTTTAAGGATATTATAGTAAACAATAATACAATGTTGTAATACAATATTGGTACACTTTATTTTTATAATCATATAATATTGTACAAATTATTACAGTAAACTATATATTTCTGTAATTACGTCTATGAATGTTTTTCTGTTTTACCAACATAGCTTGCCATAAAAGTGGCTGACAAGTGGTAGTAGAATTAAATAATACAACCATACAGTGTAAAAATGCACTATGTTATTTCCTTTGTCGAATGCAATGCTTTTTTCTAAAATTATTTCCTACGATAACGTACAAAACTTATTAAGAAACGATTGAAATTATTAAATTAACTCTTATTTCTTTCGATTATCTACATATTCATATAAGCCTATTATATAAATCCATAGTGCTTACAAGAAGATAATTAATTGTCCCTTCTTATACCACGCTATTACTATACTAGAATATATATATATAATATATAATATTATATATATAATATATATAATTTTACATATTTATATATATAATATTTTGCTTGATATTATATATATACATATATAAATATATGTTTAAATGTCGCGATGTTCGTACTAACAAGTTCGGTGTCATAATAAATTTATCGTTTCAACAGAAAAAATGTATACACATATATGTGCCATCCTATTTTATTAATACAATCGTTTATATTATACTCTATGTTAATGTACATTTTTGTTTATGTAAGAGCGCAAAAAATAACTCAATATTTTATTACAATATTTGCGACGAAAAGTTCCAACTTACAGAAAATAGACACAATTTACAACTTCAAAAGATTTTTTGATTTTATAACTTATTTCATACACACAAGTTTATGAAATGTTACAAATTAAGCAGAGAATTATTATAAATTCCACATTCGTCGCTTAAAAGTACGATGGCGAAATTAGAAAAGAAAGAAGAAAGTATACATGTGATTGAAAAAATGAAGAAAAATTATTCATCACTTTTCAGGACATCGCGAAACAGTTTAGGGCACTCCCTGTTAATTAATACAATTTGATACTTGGTATACCGTTCAGAAATTACTTCGCAACATGACGCGTAGACACATCGAATATATGGAGTAAGGACAGTTTATCATTCATTGCCCTACGTAATCGTATTAGCGTTAATAACAAAATAGAATTAATTCAAGTATATTTGTCTTAGAAAAAGAATTTATATTATTAGTGAATTTACTATCCAAGAGTAATTCGCAGTATGACATGTAAGTGTCGCATAAAATGTAAATATACTTCGTATTTATAGGTTTTCATAGGCATGTAGGTCAGGAATATGCAGCTCTAGGATTAACCAAGGAATTAGACTGAAGGCCACCCTTTAATATTTTTACAGTCTATTTTATCTATGTCTGATAACAACAATAAAAATTCTTAAATAAATATATCGGTATAATCATTGATGGAATATTATTACGCAATCAACTAGTTTTTTTTGCCAAGAGTTGTAGGTTTATGTGTTGTAATTGCGTCTTAAGCATAATATGCATACACATGTACACGGCACGTCAGTCATTGTATATTACAATGACTGGTATGGAGTACCACAAAATTACGTGAAATTCATTAAGACAAGACACATGTATCACTCTGCTGATCATTGCTATTTTCCTCTGCCTTGAGATGTACCCGACCTGGTTGTAGGTTTTGCTGGTTGTGGAATAATCGTAATTTCATCATTGATCTTCAATGGTTTCAGAAGGGAGTCATTGGATCTGGACGATGGAGATGAAGGTGTGTTCTTCTTATCCATTACTCTTTTAGCTACGACACTATGTGCCGAATATACGTGATTTTCAAACTGCTTATACATTCCGAACGTGGCAGTGCAGACTGTACATTTATAAGATAGATGCGCTGGTTTTAATGTCATTCCGTGATCTCGCGCAACATGATTTAGTAATTTCCATTGATATACCTAAAAATGAAGATCCACACAACCCTCAAGGAATATCATATGCTTTTTAAATTTATATCTCCCGATCTGACACGCATATAATTTTGAATTTTGAATGAACATATAAAATATATAAACTTACCCTGCCGCAAGCAGGACAACGTCCTGCATCCTTTCCTCTATTTGCAGCTTCTTGCATACTAGATGTAACTAATCCATGAGAACCAAGTAAATGTCTTTCCAGACCCTGTAATAATGAAAATACAATACTGTTATAATTTCATTTTTACACATAAAAAAGCTAAACAAATCATAATAAAAAATCATAATAAAAAAATATTGAAATATAAATTTTTAATTTGTATATGAAAGTGATTTTACATAAAAAAAATAAATTAAAAATAAAAAACAAAATTTTTTTGTAAGATGCTTCATTTTCGAGAAAATTGAGTTTGAAAATTTATCAAATATACTGGAATTTGACTAATGCTAAACGTAACAGAAAAGAATAATCAACAGGAAATTAGTCTAATACTAAAAATAAATTAAATAAATTAAAAATGTAGAATTTTTCATTTAAAGTTTCATTTTCAAGAAAATAAACTTTAAATATGTTTCGTTAAAAATTGCGTTAAATTTTACTTGATAAATTTTCAAACTCGATTTTCTCATAAATGAAGCATCTTAGAAAAAATTAAATTTTATTCTATTTTTTCGACATATTTTCACACATAGAATAACATTTTACTCATTCTTGATTTTGTCAAAAATTAAAAAATTTTATATAATTGTATTATATAAAAAAATTTTATTTTTTTTCGTTTTTTTTTTTATGAAAAATCATCCCCTTTTCGGTTGTATTACCGATGCTGAGACATTCTATATACCACCTCTACATGTCATATATCATTTTTTATTTAAATATATATATCCTTTGGAAGAGAAAAAGTACACGTACACGCATGCACACACACACACACA